GACACACCCGCTCGACACGCGCACAAAGCCAGAACGTGTCTTGGAGAAGAGACTTTTCTCAAGGGCTGTTGCAGCCTCTTAATTTGCACGTGGCTGGGGACGCACAGAAATGAAAGCGGCGGTGCGCTACGCGGTGCGGCTGAGCTTCCGAGACGTCAGCCGAGCAGCGGAGAGAACCCGGCGAGTTCATTAGCGGGCGGACGCGGGAAGAGAACGCCACGGAAAGCCAAATAAAAAAGAGCCCAGGATCTGCTTTTATGCCAAAAAATAAAAAGGAACCTCATTATAGAAGGCAGGAAAAGAGCCCCCTTCCGTAATTTGGGGGCCTTTTCTGAAATCTTGATCTCAGCAGGTGACTGTCACAGCCCATTACCTGTGCGAACTTCAAAACCGACGGGAGGTGAAGGGGCCAGCGTCTCCGCCCCCGTGGACCCGCACGTACGCCGTGGGTGACGGGCGACTCCCTGGGCGTCTGCTGGGGGCTGGTCCTGTGCCTTCTGCGGGGTGTTTAAACATGAAGAGGGCACGGCTCGAGGGCAATCACATGTTGGAGGAAGATAGTGCACGCTTTGGGGGCGAGCCAGGAAGCTTCTGAAGATTAGGGCCCCGTGTGGTTGGCGGAAGGGAAGTTCATTTTATTTCAGGAGAGAAATGCATTCGATTCAGCGAAGCTTATTTAAAATGCATTTCATCGGAAACTCTTTGAGAGTAAATTAGTCGGTTATAAAGACGTGGGTGCGTTTTGTCTGCTAGGTTTATAGAAATGGAACAGCCCGCGGAGTCGCAGGTGTAGGAGGACCTTGACCAGCAGGGTCTGAGAAGATGCAAATGCGACGGGCCCGGGCGGGGGGGCGGTTTGGTTACGTTCCTGTCATCTCCCCAGGAATCACATAAGGAAGTTAACCCAGCATCCCGCCACGGAGGCGAAGGGCCTGGCCGCCTCTGCACTGCTCAGCTCCCCCTGGCAGCTGTCTGGGTTCCGGTGACCCCCTGCTTGAGCCAGTGAGGAAGAGGCGTTTGAGCGTGACGTACGTGGTTGAGTCAGGAGCCCGGAGGATCAGAGGCTTGGCACGTAGGGCTTACATGCGGGGCAAACAGTATGATGGGATGAGGAAGGACTTGCAGGGCACAGACAGGGACACGCTGCCCTGTCCCTCCAGGCGCCTGTCTGTTGTGGTCCCCAATGGTGTGATCACGACCAGCAACAGAACGAGGGGCTGAGCCCCGGACTCGGCACCATTTGGCCGTGTGCAGGACACGGCAGGTGGACAGAGGGGAAGAGCCACGTGGACTGCGCCTGGCCGTGAGGACCGAGGACGAGCCCTCGGAGGAGGGGCATGGCAGGCGGGCCGCGCAGGGACGGCTCCGAGGGGCGTGTTTGTTCCCGTTGGCATCACGTTTGCGGAAAGGCTTGAAATGTGTCCCGCTGTGCACGGCACGTGCGACTCTGTGTTTGACGACCCCGTCGCCCTCCCCCAGAGGCCACGGGGCTGGCTCAGCACACGCGTCCGCGCTACCGTGTTCTCGTAAGTACCACGGGCTGTCACCACCGCCACGTCCCCATAGGGTGACGTTTCTCCTCTGACTGTGCCCAAGGATGACACAGACTTTGTCTTTCCTGTCGTAGCGCCCGATGACGTTTACCTAGCGTCCCAGCTCAGCTCTAACAGCCACGGCCTGGCAGGGTGCAGCCGTGCAGCGGAGCGGAGTGTGGTGAGGCGTCTGGCGTGGGGGACGGCGCGCGCACACGGTCCACGGGGGTTGGGGCTGCGTCATCCACTCCCCCCACAGAGGCCGCAGCCGCCATGGTCCTGCCTGGACAGCCACTGCCCGACAGCAATGAAGGACCGCTGATCATGACGTGGAGAGCCCGTGTCAACACGTCTTCAAGGACTGGCTGGTACGGCATTCAAACCGATGAAGCCGAATCCTGGCCAAGACTCGAGGGCCTTGTTTCAGCCAGAACTCAGGAGGCAGTTAGGAGCGGAGGGTGATGAAAAACCATCTGAAACGGGGACCCCCCCCCACATGGAAAGATAGCCCCGCCCTTATGGGACATGCGAACGCTGCTTTCCAGAGTCACACCTGCACTAGTTAAATTAATGGCGATGTGCATTTACTGACCCTTCCTCAGATTTTCCTCCCTAAGGACCAGAAGATGTGCGTACACCTACGAGACAGCAGGCATCCTTTCGTGGACAGAAGAAAGTAACGGAATAAAACTCACGGAATTACATGAACGGATTTTTAAAAAAGGTTTAAAGGTTGTAGACTTCAGGAAAAAATATGCGAAAAATGAAGAAACAAGTCTTTTGGAAAATCAGCTCTGTCAGTCTCTGACTGCACCCCATTTCAAAGCTTTCCTGAGGATGGACTTATATGTCGCACAAAAAAGGAGGGTTCGGGAGCCTCGCCCCCAATGGATATCGAATTCTCAACAGTCCGTGGTGTCATAAGTGCATTTTGTCATTATTTGCCGATGACTACTAGTAGTACCTACTCGAGTGTGTGTTTGGAGATTTAGAAAAAAATACACTCGGCATGCTTTCCTCTTGGTCATTGTTGGGGGGGGGATTTGCATATGGACAAGATCGATGCACCTGACCGCATAAAAATTAACCCCTGAACTTCTGCACGCTGAAATACGTCACCTGTGAGGTTGGGAGGCACATGGCACCCGGGAGGCACACCTGCAACGCGTCCACCGGGAGGTTAGGATCGCTGATGTAGAGAACCAGGAAGCAGGTGATGAGCGAGGGTGGGGGGCGGGATTAGCGCGCGGCGGGGACAGAGCTTCCCGGCGGCAAGATGGAAAAGTTCCGGAGACCGGCCACACGACCGTGACGGTGTTCAGCGGTGATGAGCTGCACGGTCAGGAGTGGTTAGGAAGGTCCGTTTCATGCCACGTGTTCTTTTTACCACCATCATAAGAAAATTTTTTATAGAACGACGTAATGAGAAGTTGAATTCCCAATAGGAAAAAAAAAAGGGCTAAGAACAAATGTTTAAGAAAAAAATTTTAAAAATAATGGAACCAAAAGAGGGCAAATTAAGGCAACGCGGAGATAATTTGTGCTCAGTAGTCTACGTTTAAGCCTTAACGTGCTTCGCGGGCGCGGGCGCGGGCGGAGGGGCCGTCACACAGCAGGCCGGCTGCAAGTCGGTGAACAGTCAGGAAGACAGTTTGGCGACGCTCGACAGAAACTATTACGATATTGCATACCTCTGAATCACAGCCTTCGGTTCAGATTTACTTCTAAAGGTTCATCTCGGGGATCCAATCAGAGATGCGTGCACAGATTTTTGTGCCAAAGTAGAAACCGTAGGCTATTCGGTCACAGAAAACCTTCAACGTTCCGCGTCTGTGTGGAGGTTATCGCGGGGGCAGGCGGGAAACGGTTCGGTTGGTCTTACAACTACACATCTCCTTTTCCTCAGACTTTGCTGCACACCTGTGTCCCGTGCATCGCGAGTCCCGTCATCGGCCCAGTCTGTGCCCTGCATTGCCGTTATCCCCTGGGGCGGCCCGGGATAGTGGCCACGTGCACCCCTCGGGTACTCCCCTGAGACAAAGCTCACTCCCCGGCCTCCCCTGCAGCCAGGCGGTGACTCAGCAGAGTTTGCGGCGGATGGGGAGTTTGCCGAGAAGGGTCCCGTCCCCTCGGCCCCTCGTCCTGGCTGCCACACGGGCAAAGCTGTCTTTAACGGGACTGTGGACGAGGTGGATATCTCTGGGATCATTCAGCGGCAGGTCAGGAGGAGGCCTCCCCACGCCCTGGGGCAGCCTCTCTGCCCCGGTGGCAGTCACACGGGACAGGCAGCCGGGCTCTTCGCAGTGGCAGAGCGCGGCCCCTGCCCTGTCCGATGGCCCTCGCCCCGATGTCCGCACGCCACACGCGGCCCGAAGACGTGGATGTGGCTGCCCTGCCCCCGCGGCGAGCTCCCCAGGGCTCCCGCCTCGTTCGAGGACCCACCGCCCACCCTCGCTCAGAGTCCCTGTCACCCTGAACTCGACTCAGCGCCCTCTCCTCCCCCTGCGGCCCCGTGGGCGGCCGTCCTTCCGTTTCTGTCATGCTGCAGGAGTTTGCGACATAAACGGATAGATGAACAGATGCGCGGAAATCAGACTCCTTTCAAATTTCTCTCACTGAGCAATAATGAAAAGAAGCAAAATGACATAAAATGGCGAGTGGTCTACTCAATGGGGGCGATTACCCTCGAAAGGCCAAAGGTCTTTCAGCAGTCAGGCCAGTGGCGACAGGAAGCCGCCCTCTCTGGGGAGGGGGCCCGGAGCGCCCCGGCAGCGAAGGCTAAGGCGTCCGCACGCCGAAGACGCCGCTCAGGTTCCAGAGGGCGAAGCTCCCGGAGCTCAGGGCGGACTCATGGGACCCAGACGCTTCGGCCCCATTCACGCAGCTCCAAGCCCAGGGGGCGGGTGCTCGGCGCCCATCCCTGTTCTGCGAACCCCAGGACACAGGCAGACAGACCTACTGTCTCATTCGTTTAGGTGACAAGTGGTAAACAGTCTGGGAAGGCAATAGTTACTCTTTCCTACGTAGCGCTCTAAGTTTTTAAAATTCGTGCCGACCTGAACGAATTTTTCATATTTCACATTGTAACTATATTTACGGCTTTCCTTGAAAAATGAGGAGACTGTAAGAATTCAGAATGTGGCCGAGGCCTCTAGTCTGGCACACGTGTGCCACGTCACCTGCCATGTCACATACGTGGACCAGTGGTCTCTGCAGGTGGCTGTGTCTGAGATCCCCACACGGTCCACGTGCCGTGGTACAAACACACCTGTCACGGGACGGAAGACGCACACCTAGCACCTGGGCTTTCCTGAACATTCCGAGTACCCGGCAGTCGTCAGCGCTGCCTCCCCAGTTCCCGCCCCCCCCGCCCGTTCTCACTGACGTCCCCACCACGTCCGGGCACCGTGCACAGCCTGCCCCGTCCCCACGTCCCGTGCGACCAGCCCAAGGCCGGGGCGGTCTTACCATGGCCAGTGGGATGACGCCGACCAGATCTTTCTGGCTCACGTAGATCCTAGAGATGCCCAGGTCTGACGTGACGTCTCCCGGGTACTCCACCTGCCACGTGACGAGCTGTGTGGCCGGCGGGTCGCTGGGCTCTCCAATCTGCACGTCGATCTGCATGACCTCGTCGGCGGCATCGCTGGCACTGTGGGGGTGGGGGGAGACAGGAGAACAGCGTTGAGGTTCGGGGTGCGGGCAGCACTGGACGGCTTCGCAGGTGTGCGCCCATCGCCCCCGCGAAGATCACTTCAGTGGCGCCTGTCCCTACGGGCGAGCCACCTCCACCGCGAGTCACGGCGTGTGCCTGGCCTGAGACACCGTCGCTCAAGCTCCCAACCCCTGCTGTCGAGGGCCCCGCGGGTCCCCGGGGCGGGTGTTTGTGGATAATTATGGGAAATCGCGATCGAGTTTGTACATTCTTTCTCCCCGACTCTCCCCCTGGGAGGGCGGGATTCTTCCCACGCCCAGGAATCCACACGCTGCTTAGGCTGGGTTTTCTAAAGCCACGGTCCCTCCAAGGTGGGGGCACAGACTCTGGTGTCCGGGGCGTGAGGCAGAGCTGCAGAGATCAGAGGCGAGGGGTGACCAGGAGGGCGGGGCCGGGGACCCAGGCCGAGAAGCTTTGAGCAGGGGCCAGTGCTGCTTGGGGACAGGGGTACGTTGCGACGGTCATCAGGCCATGGGCAGCCTGCCCCTTCCTACAAACACACATCTGGACATGAAGCCAAGCTCGCTCATCGGGGGGGCCGGGGCAGCTGTCGTGTTAGCTTCATGAACTGGCGACCCCTTCTGCCTCTTCACGGCAGCTTTTATAAAATACCTCTCTTCAGCGTGACGGGTGGGACAGAGGCGGCCATTCCCCGAGGACCTGGGGACCGTGCAGGTGAGAAGCACCACGGAGCAGCTAACGAGATGCTTCCGAAGCCTCGTGACCAGAGCAACCTCCTCCCATTGGACCCCTCGCCACAGGCGCGAACGTCACGTGGCGACGAGACACGCTGGCCGGTGACGGTCAGGAGCCCGGGTGTGGCCGCCCGGGTGCGACAGAGCTTTCATCACAGCACCGGCTCCCGCAAACTCAGCAGCGCGAAGCCCGGAGGGGACGGCGGGGCTTCCGGGGGGCTCATTTCTCAGAGTCAGGGACGAGCTGTAGCACGAGGGCGACTCTGACGAAGGGGCAGCCACCAAGGGCCCAGCCGCAGACGCCAGCGGCCGCCTCGCACGGGACAGGCGCGGGTCCGAGGGACCGTGGGCGACGGCTGGGGACAAAGTGGCACCCGGTTTCTAGATCCCGCGAGACTCGCTCTCCCTGGCCTTCCGAAGGAAAGAAGGTGAGCTCGGTGGCTGTGTCGGGAACGGGGAATAAGCCACGTCGGCCACCAGGCCACTGCGCGGTCACCCCAAGTTCTCCCTGGGGCCCCAGGAGCGCAGGGGACTTGGGGTCAGGCCGCCAGGATGCAGACCCGTTTTTATGTGTGGAATCGGCATAAAAACTCGGTGCCTTCCCGGTCACCGAGTGCGATGACGCCCCTGGAGTGGCGGCTACAGGATGGGGTTGTGACTCAGCTGGGCTCGGGGACCCAGCGCCACAGTCCGGGCGGCGGGGACCCTGGAAGGCCGCACGGCGACCCTGCCCTGCACCCTCGGGCTCCTCCCTCCCGGTTCCCTCCGGGCCAACGGAGCCACCCTCGGCTCCGCTGCAGACGGGGCTTCGTCACCTCCCTCCTGTCCCCAGAGTAACATTATCAAAATACTCGCTTAACTCTCTCCATACGTTCAAATTCTTGCCGTCCTGCAAGACCCACCATGATGACGACGACGACAACTCGAAGGCGCTCTGTGTGCTTCATCCAATTTCACCCCTCCGGGAACCTTGCGCGGTTGCCCCATAAAGTCCGATTTTCCATTCCCCAGTCCGATGCCTGGCCGACGGGCAAAAGCATCGCCGTGTCTTTGAGCCGACTGCCCTCTCTTTCGTGTGCCGATGACAACAGCCTACGTTGGGGACACTGAGCTGGGGGCCGCAGCCACCTCTAGGAGTTTGCGCACAAGCACGTGTTCCTCTCGAATGACCCCTCGGCTCGCACGGGCTCCTCAGGAGGTCAGAGGCCGTAGGGCCGGGGACCGGGTCCCTGGCAATTCCCTCTGCAAATTCTGCATGCGGTGACCTAGCTTTGCGACGTCATCTTGGGTCTTGGCGAATGAGTGGCAGTTTGCATGGTGTTGCCTCTAGGTAAATATTCGGCACTCGAGAGCTTATAACGGGCGCGTGTTTGGCAACACGTCTCACGTCTTCACATTTTACCGTGAAGCCGGGGACTGTACCTCCTGTTCAGTTGGCGTGTTGAGCGTTAGACCCAAAGTGTCCTGGAGAGAGGCCGCGTTTAACCGTGCCGTGTGGGGCCGGGCGCCGAGCGGGCAGCCCGGCATGGCCCGGAAGGGAAGCCGCTGTGATAAATACAGCAGGTTAGGAAGTTTGTAAGATACGGACTTGGGCTTAGGGTGGTGGTTGTCGTCCTGCTGGGGCCGAGAGCTGCCTGGGGGACTTCGCACACGAACCGTGCCCGGCGCCGAGCCTACGGGCTTCTCGCTGAGCCCGAGCGGACCAGGCACCAGCCCCGCTCCTTCCCTCTCCCTCTCCCTCCTCCCCTCCCTCACCCCCTCCCCTCCTCTCGTCTTTCTTTCTCATGCAGGAGACTCCACCCAGCAACCAGGATTACTGAACAGCTGACCAAGAGGTCTCTAAGTCTGCTTATGTGGACCGCTGTGCTCTCGGAAGCACTCGGTATACAGGGGAGCAAGGCACGGGGCGCGCTACGTCCGTGGGCCTGGGAGACGTGACCAGCAGGATCTGAGAAGACACAGGTGAACCGAGAATAAGGAGACATCAGGGCCCGGGGTCCCTGAGCGCCAGAGCAAGGAGGGGCGGGAACAGGGCTGCAGCCCAGGGCCCGGGGATCCAGTAAGCCCAGTGCTCAGACGCCACCTCCGGTGGCCCTAGACACTGCCCCACCCACCGGTCTCCCACCCTCCCCCACAGACGAGCCTCAGCTCACAGAAGGACGGGCGACGCCTGCCGGGCCAGCCCATCTGGAAAGCGGTCCTGCTGCTGAGCGTGGGGCTGGTCCCTGTGGAGGGCGGGTGCAGCCACGCAGGGCGAGGCTCGGCAATGTCACGCCTGGACACCCGAGACCCTTGTGAGCGTGGGAGCTGCCTGCAGGGTCGGTTTCGCGCCCGGGTGGCTGCTCCAGCGAGGGCAAGCCCAGGAGCCACCCTCCCACCCCGTCCTGCCTGCAGCTGTCCACGGCGGGGGCGACGGCAGAGGGGGGCAGAGCGGGGCACAGCCCCCCGTGCATGCGGCGCGTCTCCGTGACGGGCTCCCCACGCTGGGGCGCAGGCGTCTTTCAGCAGCCCGGCCGCCCCCACAGAGAAGACGCAGCCCACCTTCTGGGTCTAGAGAAGCCTATTATTCCCGAGTGCTGACCTCACAGGACGGCTTCGTGGGGCTTCGAATCTAAGCCTTTTCACTCGGAGGGACGGAGGGACGGGCGTCGTCTAAACGAAGCACAGCTGTGGCCACAGCGACATAGCCCCAGGCTTCTTGAAATTTAAGGGACAGGAAATGCTCTTTCAGAAAACAAGGCTAGGTCAGTGCAGCGGCTCAGAAACCGCGAGGAAGGCTGACGGGAGGCTCTGCGGACGCCATGCCTGTCTCCTCCAGGGCAAGCAACAACTCCCCGCTGGATGAGCGTTTCGAGCGTGTCCAGCACTGTTTTAAGGCTTCTTATGTCTCCGTAAGGTCATCCTCACAGTGTCCCAATAAACGATTGTTATCTACTCCCAGTTTATGGACGAAGAACCGAGGCCCAGATTCGCTCCGCCAGGCAGCTGCAGACTCCCCCACTCAGTGGCCGAGCTGTGTGCCCCCACCTCTTCCCGGGGCAAGGACCCCAGGGCAATTACCAAGCAGGGCCACGAAAGCCACTCGTCAGCCTGACTGAAACACAGGCCAGTGCACTACACACAGCTTACTCGAGACCCAGCAACCGATGCTTCAAATAAATGCCGCAGGCTCAGAGCTGCGCCAACTTCGTGACA